TGGGGAGTCGAGGAGGGGCGGGCGCCTCGCTTGGCTCGGCCGGCGGAGGGTGCTCGGCCCGGCCGCCTCGGATCCCCCTCCAGGCCCGCCCCGGGAATGCGGCTCCTGCACGGTCTCCTCCGGGCTCAGGGCTGCAGGGCTCAGGGCTGCGGCTGGGACCCAGCGGGGCCCCTGACAGTGCGGCTCCCTGCCCTGGCGTCCTCTCCCCGCTACGCTGCCCAGACTCGGGCCCGCACGGGGCAGCCGGCCTCAGCCAGACCCCAGCGTCACGTTGTTGGGGCAGAGGACCAGCAGTGTGACAGTGGGAGAGTGACTGGGCCTCATCACCCCCTGCAGAAGGGCTCTGACCTGACACGGCGGGGACCGTGTCCTTTAGCCTGAAATGTGTCTTCCGTCTCCGGGTGGCCAGAATCCCGCTGACATTGGCTGAACTGTGTAGGCGGCTGCCTGTAGAGTCGCTGATCGGCAACTGTGCCGTGTCAGCTGCTGCCCCCCCCCTTGCATGCGCAGGCGTTGAGGTTTGAATTTAGCAGTTTTTCGCTGCTGTGCTTCTAACTTTCTCGTGTGGGGGTTTGCAGAGCTGCGCTGCCTGGGTGCCAGTGAGATCCAGAGCGGCCTCACTCGCCTGGTTCGCTCTCCACGTTTTGTGATATTTTATTAGCCATCTATTGACAGTCCAGCCCTGCAGTCGTGACTTTCCCATCTTCCACAGGAGCCACTTGCTTGGGCCAGCAAGGCTTCCTCATACCCGCCCCTTTGTTATTGCTTACATGTCATGACCAGGTTGCCTCATTTGCCTTCTGAGAGAAGTGTGTCTAAAGTGTCCTGTACACGGGCTTCCCTTGGGGCGGGGTGGGGGGTGGGGTTGAGCCCTGTCGGGGTCATTAGCTTCAGCCTGCGTCTAAAGCAGCCGTCCTCAGTTGGCATCGGAGAATTTCTTTATCCGTGTCTTCGTTTTACAGGACAGGTTTCCTGATGCAGATTTTCTTAGCTAGCATTTTGTTTTGAGTGTACCAAGTGCACTCACTGTGGCTCCCACTGTTTCTGCTGAGTACAGGGCTGGCTTCTTAACCAGTTCTTCCGAGATTAGAACTGTTACAGGGTGGTCCTGTCCGTGGTTTATCCTCCTCTCCTTGTGTCACAGAGGTGGCCTGTCAACTTGGAGTTGGGTTTGTTAAGATTCCTCAATGTATAGATTACTGTTTTCAGTAAACAGAGGACGTTTTCAGCCATTATTTCTTCGAGTACTTTTTCTGCTTGTTTTCTTCCTGGTTGTCCCTCACATGCATGCTGGTGTGTGGGTTTAAGGCCAGCCTAGGGAGTTCTAGGCCAACTGCAGCAATAAGCTGATGTAAGAGACAGTTGTGTGTGGTGGCAGAGGCTGTGACCCCAGCACTCAAACAGCTAGGGCAGACGGATGGAGCTTGCGTTCAAGACCTGTCAGAGTAATTGGATGAACCTTTCTCAAAAAAATGTTTTCAAGGGGTGGAGTTAGGGATGTGGCACAGCTGGGAGAATGCTTACCTAGCTAAGCATGCATGAAACAGACTTGATCCCTGTCCCACATAAACCAAATGTAGCAGCTCACATCTGTAACCCCAACACTTGGGAAACAGAGGCAGGTTCAGGGGTTCAAGCTCCTGGCTGGAGCCATAGCACAAGGTACAGATTCTGCCAAGCACACAGTAGGCCCTGGATGCCACCCCAGAATAAAAAAAAAAAAAACAATAACATAAGCCAGGAGCTATGTGCTCTGCTCCATAGGATGGGGACTGATGAAGGGGGTGGATAGAGATGAGTACAGGGCTGGTGTTTCTGTCTCATCTTAATTTTGCCAGGGGCTTTGACACGGATGTGCACACTTATTTGAGGCACACGGGTATGAGTTCATGTCCACTTACTACAGTGGTGGTTCTTGGAAACATACAAGACAAGGAGATTGATGGTCCTGAGCCCCCACAGTGGACAAGTGGACAGCCAGCCTTGTATCTTTTGTTTTAAATTGTGTGTGTGTGTGTGTGTGTGCGCGCGCGCGCGCTGTACCACATGTGCCACAGCACGGGTGGAGGCCAGAAGACAACTTCCAGAAGTCGGTTCTTTCCTTCCACTACTTGGGCCCTTAGGATTGAACTCGGGTCTGCTGTCCTGGTGGCAAGCCCCCTTTCCCACTGAGCCATCTCTCTGACCCTGGACCCTGTGTCTAAACCTAGACAGTTGGGCTGAACCAGCTTAGGCCAAAGCAGCCTTTGCCTGTAGGTGAGGGAATGGGGCAGAAATGCCCAGGTTCCGAGCTGAGAAGCCGCAGCTTGGCTGGCGTTCTGCCATAGCCTGCTCTCTGAGCTTCACTCTTGTCTAGCTCACAGGTGGAGTGCGATCCTCAGCGCGCCTTCAGGCCCGAAGCTACTCTTCAGCCAGCTTGACCTCCGCCGAGGGCATTGCCAGCTCCACATCTGCCAAGACAGCATGTCTGGTGAGCTTCGTTACCAAGAACACCAAGGCCTTGACTCCATCCCTTCTACAGTTGTCACCCCGAGATGTGCTGTGTGAAATATGAGCCATTGCTGCTGTGTGTAGACTGGGAGACATTTCAGAGGTCATGTGACATGCCGTCACAGCAGTCAGAGAGGTGCATGTTGCAATGCAGCTGAGTTTGCTTTTGTGCACTATGCTCTTACATGGACGGAATGCTAGCAATCCAGAGTAAGACAGCTTCCTGCATAGTGCCGCTTTGAAGGTGGCCTGTGCAGCCATGTGAGTCTCACCGCTTCACCCCTAGAGCAGAGCAAGGAGGGACACATCACAGTGCAGCTGCCCCAGCAAGGGATCTGACCCCCACACTGCCACAGCTGGGGCTGGGCCCAGCCTCTGCGTCTGATGCAGCACTACACAGGACAGCATGCTGACACTTTGCTGCAGCCAGCCTGCGTGTCTGCTGGTGTGCAGTGTCCAGACAAAAGAGCTGGGAGCTTGCTCTGAGTGGGGAGAGGGAAACTGGTTTCTTTTACATATTTTAGAATATTTATTTGGGGGCAAGGCACACATGCCGCGGTGCATATGTGGAGGCCAGAGGACAGTGTGCAGTAGGAGATTCTCCTGCTGCCATGTGGGTTCTAGGATGTGATTTTGGCAGCAGGCACCCTTATTCTCTAAACCATCTTGCATGTCCCTATTATGACTTTAAAGCAGGCAAGCATGTACTTTAGAAAACAGCCCTGGGAAAGCTTGTCTGAGTGGTGCTGTGGAGTCTCCCTCGGCCTCCAGTCTGTTCTGCCCCTTAGCAGCAGGACAGATGGTGACTGGTGGCAGAGGAAGGAGGGGGCTCTGGGACTGAACCCAGTGCCTTTGCCAGACAGGTCTGGTTTTCTCTTACATTTTTCTTTCCTGGCAGGCTTCCTCATCACACAAGACTACAGACAGACGCACTTCCAAAAAGTTCAAGAATGACAAAGGTCACCTTGTAAAGGCAGAACTACAGAAAGCTGACCCTAAAAGTGACATTTCTTCTTTGCCAAAAGTGGCCCCTGAGGCCTCTTGTGACAATGAGTTTGCAGAGGCCAGCACTAAGACAGCTGTCTCTGCACCAGAGAGTAGAGAGCCTCCCCAGGGCTGCTGCCAGCCTGTGAGTGAGGAACCGTCAGCAAAGACTGAAGGTGGCCTGCCCACACCAGAACCCGGCAGGGCGGCTGCAGCCCAGGAACCTGATGGCAGTTCTGCCAGACAGGCCGAGCCAGTGCCCAGGACAGAGGAGGTGCGGGCACCTGTGCTCCAGATGGACAGCAGCGTCTTTCTAGATGATGACAGCAACCAGCCCATGCCTGTGAGTCGCTTCTTCGGGAATGTTGAGCTTATGCAGGTAAGTGTTACCTCCTGCCTCTCCTGCGGTGCGGGCAGCAAACTGCAGCTACCATCATGTGCTCCCAGGTTCCTGTGTGTCCGTAATGCCACAACACAGAGGCAAACATAACTGAGAAAGAGAAAATGAGCTCTGTGTAATTGGTGCTCCTCCCCTGCAGCACCCCACTCTCGGGCTTACAGACTGGAAGGCAGGGCACCTGGCTCCAGCCCCCTGGGTGTATCACGTTTCTGTCGCTGCCCCTAGTCTGTAGGATAGCATCCCTCTTACCAAGGGCCCAGAGCCTGGACAGACTTCCCACGTCTGAAGCAGGCCAGCTCTGCAGGGCCCGGAGCAGACCCTGGTCAGGTTTGTCTGGTGCCAGGCAGTGTCACTCAAGACTGAAGGCATGGTTTCTTCCCTCCCAGGATCTGCCACCAGCCTCTTCATCTTGTCCTTCCATGAGCAGACGAGAGTTCAGAAAAATGCATTTCAGAGCCAAAGAGGATGAGGATGAGGACGACGCCGAGATGTAGCGTGGGTCCTCCCGTCATGTTCAGCGGACGGCGCAGCAGGTCTGAAGATTTCTGTATGGCGTCTCCAAGAGAACACAGAATTGACACGAGCATCACCAGTGCCGACACCCGGCCCCTGCGGGAGGGTTTCTCGCCGCCACAGGCTGCCGCCGCCACTGCCGTGCTGATGTCCTTTCCTCCCCCCATAGACGTACTGTGCTAGTGCTGGTCAGCAGGGGCTGGGAAGTCGGAAAAATCCCTCAGGGCTTTGGTTTTGGTAAAAAAAGCTTACTTTCTGTGCCAAACTGATTACTGGAGAGGAATTCAGTCTCTTCTGGAAGGACCTCCTGTTTCTGAGTGAATCTAATAGTTTACCTTATAGTTTTGCAAAGTGCATATAAGAAGGAAATAAACTATATTTTGAAAATACTTTTAAGGAAATATTCTGTCTCCAAAACTGTCATCTCAAATATTTGAGAGCCATGGGAGGATATGAATAGTGACCAAAGCTGGGACCACCCTTCAGGCCCATCAGCTAGAAGGAAATGCAAGGCCCAGGCTTGGTATTGATGGCCCCTTCTCTGCTCTGCTGGGACTAAGGCTAGCCCTGTGGGTACTGGGAACTGAATGTGGGTCCTATGCAAAAAACAAGTGTTCCAGGCCTGTAAGGAGTTTTCGGTTCTGCTCCTGTTCAGACGGACCTTCCCCATCCCCAACAGCTAATCTTCCCCACTGTCATTCTTGGCTTCTACTGAGAGCTGGGACCTTCACCTACTCAGCTGTGTGACATAATGACTGATGGACAACAATTTAAAACTGTTATTTGTGGTCATCTTCTGATAACCAGGGATAATAACGTACAGCCTTGATTGCTCGGCCCCTGGAAAAGACACCAGAGTTCCTCGGAACAGCTCTGTGGTTCCCATGAGCAGACTTCTGTGAGCATCCTTGATCATGACATGCTTACCAAAGAGACAGGCATGCCATGACCAGCAAAATGGGGAAGGATGTTTGCTTCCTTTACTTCCAGCCTATCCTGCTGGTGGACCCTGGGTAGAAAGAAGCACCAGGACTAAGTGTGAGCCTGCAGCAGGCTTCAGCAGGTACCACTTTTCCCATCCTCACTGGCCCCGACTCAACTGCAGTCATCCAGCCCTGAGAAGCTAACGGAACCCTTTCCTGTGGGATCTGGGAGAGTCTGTTGAGATGTGATAGTCACAGAGCTAAGTCCCTTGCCCTGTCATGAGAACACAGGTATCCTCTGTGAAAATACAAACAGGGTGTTGGGTAGGATGGAGCATCAGGCAGAGGGTCCACAGCAGCAAAAGCAAACAACTCAAGAATAAATGGACAAAACCTAAATAGGGCCACCAAGCTGTCTCAGCACGTAAGGGTGCTTGCTGCCAAACTTAAAGATCTAAGTTCAGTCCCCAGAATTCACATGGTGAACAGAACTGACCTCCACAGGTTGTCCCCTGACCTCCACAAATATGCCATGTCTTAAGAATTCAGACACATTAAAGCAGTTATTAGAATCTACTTGGGGAGATACACCAGGTGTTTAAGAGCCTGAGCCAGCCAGCTGGTACAAGAGTGACTTACTACACTTTCACAGTCCGGCGTCTGTAGATGGGCCCTGTGACACAAGCGTGTCCTGTCTTCCCACTGTCGCAGTCTGTTGGGACTGGCCTCCCAGCACACACAGCAAGAGCACACTGCCTGCAGCCAGCAGATTCATGGGTTGCGAGTGCAGGGTCCGGAAGAAATAAATGTGTTTCCAGGAACTGTCCCCTCCCTGTGGAGTCCTAACAGCCCAGTCAGGACCTGGACACTTCCTGAAGACCTGCTGTTCCCACCCGTTCCTGTAGCATGTGGGTCAGCTTGTTGGGGTTTTTGTCCCGCCCAGTACCCCAACAAGCCAGCAAGTCCCAAGGAAAATAACATGGAGTCTACATCAGGTTATAAACTGATTGGCTCATTAGGTCAGGCTTCTTGTTAACTCTTATAACTTATATTAACCCATTATACTTATCTATGTTAGCCATAATGACTCAGTACCTTTTTCAGTGTGACAGCTTACATGTTGCTTCTTCAGTGATCTGCGCAGGAGTGCCAGAGGAACCTCTCTCCTCCCTAGCCTTATCCTATTCTCATTACTCCACCTCTACTTCCTGTCTGGTTGACCCGCCTATACTTCCTGCCTGGCCAATCAGCGTTTTATTAAAATACATGATTGACAGAATACAGACAATTCTCCCACACCACGTTCCCCCACAGGTCACCCCGAGCTGCTGCTCCCGCAGGAGCTTCCTGAAGACAGGCCTTTCTTCCCTAGATGGCTTCCATGGCTCTGTCTTGCTTAGGTATTTAAGCCCACCTCTTTTCCTACATCAGTTGGCAGTACGTCACAGCAGTCTGGCTTCTAACCCCTTTGCTTTCTGCCATTCACCCTGTGCAGCTGAGACTCCCTAAACACGCATAGGTCCTGGGCTGCTGCAGTCTCTCTGATTCAGTCACGGTGCTGACAGCATAATGCATCTGCCACTGCAGACTTTTCTGATTCACTTCTTTTTTCTGGGGTTCACTGCCTATGTTATCCTGGGAGTCTGGGGGTTTGGGTGACAACTCCTATCTGTGACACTTCTCACTTGGACCCACCACTCCATCACTGACCAGCTGAAGGCCCAGAAGCAGGCAAAGCAAGTCCTATCAAGGTCAGCCTTGTGACTTTCTCTCAAAGCTTATTTTTCATGTCCAGTTGCAACAAATGTGGATTTCTGCATTTCACCAGCTGCAGAAACGGAGCCTCAGATCTGGAGGGGTGCTCTGCACACTGGTAGGGGTGTGGGTAACAGAAGGCCACAAATGTCCATCTTGGGGCTGAAGAGGGGTCAGCTGCTAAGAGCACCCGATGCTCCTGCAGAGGACCCAGACTGGGTTCCAGCACACACATGATGGCTTACAACCCCCTGTAATTCCTCTTGCGGGTATCCAATCCTGCTGGCCTCAGCACCTGCATGCATGTGGGACACTAACATGCACTCAGGCACACACATACACGTGCAAGTGTCAAACTTCAGAGAGCCCAATCCTGGCAGGGGCAGTGACTTTACACGTCCCGGGTACTTGAAAACGACAGCCCTCAGAAACATGGAAGATGACACATTGTGAACTGTGAACGGTGTACGTCCGTGACTGTGAGACAGGCAGAGGGTTCTCAGAAAGCTCCACCCCGCTGTCCTGAGACACTGCTGCACATAGCTGTGAAGACAGACTCAGCCAGGGCAATGGTTCCATCACTGGCTGCTGTTATTGCGCCCTTGGCCCCACCTTTCTCAATACTTTTTGACACGTCTATTTTGGAAAATCTTTATTTTTCTGATTGTATGGCAAATGTAAAAAATCTAAACATTATAAAACATATAAAATATACTTGCTTTTAAAAACAAAACTCAGGCTGGGCATAGTAATACACACCTTTAATCCCAGCACTCAGGAGGCAGAGGCAACAGTCTGAGTTTGAGGCTAAGCTGATCTAATAGTTCCAGGCTAGGCAGAGCTATATAGTGAGATCCCATCTCAGAAGAAAGAACGAAACAAAACAAATCAAGTACTATAAAATAGATGGGGTAGGAAATGAGTGATCAAATGGATCAAATCTCACTTGCTGAATACCCCAAGATCACTGCCTTCACAGTGTGGCATTTCCTCAGACTGTCTCTGTGCAAACTGACACATCCACAAACCCAATGCCAGGTGTGGTAGGGCACACCTGTGATCCCAGCTCTAGGGATGAGGCAGGAGTATGATGGATTCAAGGTCATTCTCAGCACAGGGAAGCCATCCATGCCTTTAACAGCTTCACATTTCTATACATATATGCCCAAACCTCCTCCAGTTGTGATACATACATGTATCCGTGTTGAGTCGTGAGATTCATGACAGAGAGCTAATCCATTAAAAACAGCAATTTCACATGGCTCAAGATAATGCAAGTCAGCTGTTCTCACCAGGAGACATCTGGAAGGCTTCTCACCTTTTGCCATCTTAAACAGTTCAGCAGAGAACATCCTCCATGTTCGTCATGCAATGCAAACATTTACCCCAGAAGCACCATTTCTTTCAGAGGAATGTAGTCAGAGCTGCCGCTTGCAGTGGTAGTGGAGGCCATAAAAGCTGAGGCACAAACGAACACCATGCCCCATACCACAGTGGCCAGGTTTAGCCCTGGAGTTGTGAGCATAAAGACCCTGCCTCAGGGACACAGTGTCCAGCACTGTCCTCTGCACACTGGGCTGTCAGAGGCTGGGCAAGCAAACTGGGAAGATACTCAGATCAGTCGGAAAGACTCTTAAAGGACTTTCCAGAACCTTCTAGAGTGACAAAATGTAAGGGTAATAGCCCCATCACCACTGCATCACCTCAGAGGGCCTGGCATGTGTCACCGGCGCTTGCGAGCAGGCCGCTTCTTCTTGGATCCTGCCTGGGGCCGGTAGATCCTACTATGGTCACACTGCAGCTTGTGCGTGGTCTTCTTGTGGCAGGCGATGTGCACCAGCTTCAAGTTCTCAGCCGTGAAGAGCAGGCTGTAGAAGTACTCCCAGTTCACCTCCCTCCCATCCTGGACTGCTTCCGCCAGCGTGGGCACCACGGTGCGCTTCTTCTCTATTCTGCCAAGTCAGGGGAAGACAGCCCATCTGCTGTCAGTGCCACGCACTTCAGGGTGCTGTGCACTTCCCATCAGCCACAGACCTCATAGCACAGTGTCTACCATAGCAAATACCCCTGCTGTGCTGGTTAGATCTTGGTCAACTTGACACAAGCTGGAGTCATTTAGGAAGAGGGACCCTCAATTGAAAAAATGCATCAAACTGGTGTCTATAAAGGCTGTGGAGCATTTTCTTAGTTAATGATTGGTGTGGGAGGGCCCAGCTCACAGTGGGCAGTGGCACCCCTAGGCCAGTGGTCCTGGACTGTATAAGAAAGCAGGGTAAAGAGGCCAGCAAACAGCAGCCCTCCACGGGCTCTGTATCAGTTCCTGCCTTGAGTGACTGTCCTGACCTCGTCATGATGAACTGTACATTTTCAGATGAAATAAACCCTTTCCTCCCCACACTGCTTTTGGCTGGTGCTTTACCACAGCAGTAGAAACCCCAAGACACCTGCTAGCAGGTGTGAGGATCTTGAAGATTCTTAAGGAACCTAAGCTGGGAATATCTCAGAAGGACAGAGACAGTGGAATGTGGATGGGGCTTGTGGATAAATCACCAGAGGAGCCCAGCACCATGCTCACAGACCAGTGGCACTGGCCCAACACTGACATGGGCTGTGGATGGGCATGGTCAGTGTAGCAGAGTTCGGTGCAAGCAATGCCGTTGTCTTACTTTGAAAACTTGAATTGTGGGTACGGCTTAACATACTAGAAAGAATGCAAGGCCAGGCCACTTACATGGCCATTCAACAAAGCCAAGCCCTACATGGGAGTGCTTCTTGGCCCATAGTGACTCCCGTTTACACAGGTGCCCACAGAACCACGCTCCCCAATCCTGTGTCTCCCATAGGCATGTGACCCAAGTGTGTATGACCAATGTAAAAGAATGTCGTGTTGCTTCAGAGCTACTGAAACAGAGACGCCTACAGGGAAGAAGTGCAGAATACTCTGCAGAGACACTTTGACAAGCCAACGACAGGAAAATGGTCACCAAAGAAACTCAGATCCAAACACAGTCCCAAGAACAGCAGAGTGAAAAGCAAACCACCTCCCCCGCATCTCTCGTTCCTCGGCTCTGAGCTGGAGATCTGAGCCATTGCACAGTCTGGGCTGATCAGGGCCAACCTGCTAGCTTGTCCTCACATGGCAGTGACACCATGAACATGCTCTCCCACGCACAAGAGTATCTGTTCTTGTTGAATCACTCTCCTCCCTAGGACACCAATTCGCCTGAACTGTTTCCCAAAGGACCTAACTTATCTCCGGATGTGGTCTCATTGGGTGACAGTTTCAATGTACGGGCGGGAGGGGGGGTGCAACTAATTCCACAGCAGGAAGTTACCCCAAAACAACAGCACTGAGCCAGAGCAGACAAGCAGAGTCAGCATAAAGTGGGTGGGTAGGTGGCAAGGAGTTCCCAGAATGCCCATGGGAATCCAAGGGACTGCAGAGGAGAATCAGGACTCTCTAGAACGGAGGACAAGTCACAGTAGAAGCAAAGAGAAAGAGCTGTCTCTGGGTGTGTATCCCTTTCAGGTAAGGTACAGTCTTCACTGAAAAGGCAGAATGCTGACCGACAGCAGCTCCCATGAGCAGGCACCAGGGATCAATGTGATCAGCCTCCCTCCAGGGAGTGCAGAAGGGCCCTAGATGCCTGTGATCCCAGACCCAGTGTGAGACAGTAACCCTGCACTCGCTCAGTGGTAGACATTCTAGCGGGGAGTTCACCCCCAGGCCCTCCTTGAGAAGCACGAGGTCACTCATTAGCCAGCCCCTAGCAGGAGCAGGGAGATGCAGGAGGACCAGGGAGAGCAGAGAAGTCGACGGCATAAGTAGGGACGGAGATGAAAATGAGCGTCTGTGCAGGCTTATGGCCAGGCAAGATGGCACTCAAAACAGCCCTGCAAGAGTGACAGGCGGGTCCAGGGTGCACAGAGACCAGGCCAACAGCGGTACAGCAAATAGCAAATGAGACAGATCCAATCACACTTATTCATGCTGAGCGGCCACTCTTATCCAGACAATGGGAGGAGGGACCTGTGCAGGACAGTCTGTAGACAAGACAAAAGGCAGTTAATGTGCCAACTAGAGACACCCTCTTTGATGGCAACAGAAACCGAGTCAGGGGGAGCGTGAGGCAAAGAGAAGAGTGGGCGTAGAGAGTCTCAACCTTCAGGTACCAGAGCAGAATGAGGGAACAGCCCTGCCAAAGACTCACACGTCAGAACAATCACACTGACCCCAAAATACTAAAGTCAGGTGCATCTGGAGACATGTAGCCTTGAGCATTTGTTAAAAGACCAAAGAGAGAAACTAGAGAACAAGGAGGAATCCTAAGAGGAGCGCAAAGTAGGAATAAAAATAAAAGCAAAATGCCCTGCAGTTAAACACAGGGTAAAAACAGCTGCAGGCAATGGGGAGCAAAGAGAGGTCCCTGCACCTGCAGGAGGAATTGCAGGATCTGTGCACACTCTGGGCCTGCACTCAGGATCCTGACAACAGTGCCTCAGACCTAAGAAAGGGGCCCAGTCTCCTAGGGCTCGCCACGGCCACCCCAGCCAGCTGTTATAGAAGACATCAGAAATGTGCCAGCATTTCTACAGCAACAACGTCTTTCACAGACAACCAGGAGAGAATCAGTGCCCAGGACAAAAAGTAAACAATGAGCAAAAGGAAGCAACATGAAAGAAAGCCACGAATGGCAAAGAGGCCTCAGCCTTCAGAGTGGGTGCTCTCCTCAGTCAGGGAAATGCAAAGAGGCACAGTGACACCGAGTGGTGGCGAGGACATGGAGCAACACGCAATCCTGTGAGCTGGAACACCCAGAGAAGGCTGAAAATTTCCCAAGGAGACCGGAGGTCAGAGCCAGGGCACTCTTTCTCATCGAGAGTCCACACCAGACCCCTGGACGCCCTCTTGATGCTGGATGGGGTCCAAATCTGCATTGCTCGCCAGCTGTGGATGCAGCCAGTCCACAGCTCAGACAGTCAAGGGTGGAGCTGGGAGACTGGTTCCTCCCAGGGGTAGGTAATGGCCTAAATGCCCAGGAGGGAACAAATGTGAGCTAGTCTGCAAACAGGCGAAGGAGTCTGCTGTGCACTAGGTTGTGTGGGCAGAGCACCGTGGAGCCAGAGAGCAGCACAGGCATGGAAGTCCACGCCTCCTGGCAAAGGTGCACAACAGGCATTGATGGGGCACGTTTCAGGACAGTGGTTTTCCGTGGAAACAGGGCAGGGGCACTGAGTACAGAGGGATAAAGGGGCCCTCAAATAAAACTCACTTTTTATTTCATAGTTTTGACTCCAAGAGTCAGGTAGCCATTTGTGGGTACTTGGAGCACTTTGCCTTTAGAAAGCAAGGTCAAGGTTAGTTACAGTCAAGAGTACCGCAGCTGCAGAAATATGTCCTGCCTTGTCCTGGTCAGGAGAGGCTGCAGCTTGCCCGGCTGCGATACCATCCCACTGGCCCTGACCTCCCACAACACAGCCCAAAAGCAGACTCCTCTGGTTCAAACAAAGAGCGTCCACAGATGGGGGCGGGAGGGCAAAGGGACAGTTTAGCACTGGGCACTGACAGCTGGGAGGACAGGGGCATCGCATGTGGGGCCTTTGCCAGGGCCTGAAGCACACAGGTGTAATGGACCAGACCTGAGCTGCCCAAGCAGATGCTGGGTTAGCTCTGGTTAGTGACCCAGAATCTTGGTGACAGACACTCACATGTGATCCAGGTTCCAGGTGCTGAAGAGAATCCGGCTCTCCCTGTTGCCATAGGGGTTGATGGAGTGCTTGGAAAGACAGCTGTCCAGGTCAAAGGGGCCCTGCAGGGACCGAGGCAAGGGTTGGAAAGGCAGAGGGAGGTACCTTACTGCTCTCCTCCAAGCCAACAAGCTTGCAAAGGAACAGGCCCCACAAGGCATTTAATCCATGAACCAACATTTGAACCAGGCAGTGACATCCCCAGCACTAAGAGGCAGAGGTAGGAGAATTTAGAGGTTAAGGCCAGGGAGATGGCTCAGCAGGAAGAACACTTTCCATACAAGCCTGAGAACCATGTTTGGATCCTGAAGTCCACGTAAAAGCCAGGTCTGTCCTCTGACCACACCCATGCTGTGGCATGTGCACGCTCACACACAAACACTACACACATATACATAAAAATAAATAAATATTAAGTCAGCCTCAACTACATATCAAGACCTCATTTTAAAAAACAAAAGGGTTTGCTGTTCATTAGAGAATGAAAATTCTCTCTTTGTGGGGTGGATAGACGGTTCAGAGGTTCAGAGCACTGCCTGTTCTTCAAGAGGACCAAGGTTTGACTACCAGCACCCATATGTGGCTCACATCCATCTGTGACCTCAGTTCCAGGGGATTTGACACCCTCTTCTGGTCTCCACAGGCACCAACCACACATGGGCACAGACATATACACAAGCAAAACACCCATATTCGAAAAAATAAACCTAATTTTTAAAAATGCTGTCTTTGGAATTCTACCTGCCCCCAAAATTCCATTGCCCCTGATCTTATATTCTGAGTTTTCAAAAGATGAAGGCATTTCTGTCCGTTACTAGAGAATCATCCTTCGCTGGGTGTCTCTAGAAGCAGACCTGTTATTCCCAACATGTTCGTGTGCGACTACAGGACCACATACTAACAGTTGTACACCCCAACAATTGCACACCACCATCCCTGCCTCCTCCCGCACTTTGAACTTGAGGGCCGCCAATACCTACTCTTAGGCCAGCTGCTGAATGCCCCACCTGCCTCTCACCCGAGGAGGGCTGTGCTCAGCAGTCCTCTCAGTGACCCCAGAATAAAGGGCACAGAGCTCACCTGGCAGGAGAACCAGCCTTCCGGAGTACAGAGCCGGTCGCTGGCCTCTGCACCCCGGTCGAAGTAGCTGCCATTGTACTTCTCGGACTTGAGCTTCTGGCACATGAAGCTGAGGACCCGCTCAAACTCTTCTCGAGCCGCTGCATCCACCGCAGAGGTGTGAGCACTCACCTGTGAGAGTGAGCCAAAGGCACCGCTGAGCCCATGGCCTGCCCGTGCCCTGCCCGTGCCCTGCCTTCAGTTACCAACCTACACCACGCATCAGCTGTCAGGAGCGGCCTACGCCTACTTCTATAGTCAGAGTGTCTGACCACTGCTCAGCTATCACATCATGGCCATTCAGGACCGTGAAGTGGAATCAACAATGCTCCCATCAGGCTGGGAGAACGAAACAAGAACAGGACAAGCAGAGAGGTTCACATCTGTAATTCTATCACTTGGGAAGCTGCAGTAGGGGGATCCAAAAGGCCAGCCTGCTCTACAGAGCAAGATCCCATGGTGGGAGGGTGTGAATTAAGATCCCATAGTGCAGGAGAATTGTCTGTATTCTGTCAGTCATGTTTTAAATAAAACGCTGATTGGCCAGGCAGGAGGTGTAGGCAGGAAAACCAGACAGGAAGTGGAAATGATATGAGGAGATCAGGAGAATTTTGGGGAGGAGGAAGTTGATTCCTCCCACTCCTGCCCAGATCACTGAAGCAGCAGGATGTGAGCTGCCCCACTGAAAAAGGTACTGAGCCATATGGCTAATAAAGATCAGAAAAATGGGTTAACCAAGATATGAGAATTAGCCAGTAAGAAGCCTGACCTAACGGGCCAATCAGCATTATAACTTATAGAGATCTCTTGTGTGGTTTTACTTTGGGACTAAACAGCTGGGGGAACAGGGCAGGACAAAAACCCCAACAAGCAGGCCTGGCCTTTTCATGTTACACCATAGTCAGCAGGAGGAGCGTTCCCTCTGTGCTAAGGCAAGCAGCACTGACAAGAGGGCCCCGTCCATGCAGCCAGAGGGTTGGTACTAGGATCAGTCAGGGCACCAGCGATTCTAGGTCATGTGGGAACAGTCACCAAGGCCACATGAAGTACAGAACACTGCACACCATACATTGGCAGCTGTGACAGTGAGCAGGTTGAGCTAGGTACGGCGGGGGGAGGGTACAGGGACAGCACACAGCCACGTTAGGGCTCCTGCAGCACTTTCTACCTGCCAATCAATGTGGAGCCTGACGTGCAAATGAACAGACAATGAAGGCCAAGCTGACCCCACTGTGGGAGAGAGAGGGGAAAGGGAAAAGGTTTAAAAACAAAAAAAGTGCAGGGTGAAGGGAGACCCATGCCTGCCACTCCAGCTGCCTGGCCACGCAGGGTGAAGAGGGACCCACCCCTGCCGCTCCAGCTGCCTGGCCACGCAGGCCTTGGCTGGCACCCACCTGGCTTTGTTCCTGCAAACTTGAGCTGTGTATTCTATCAGCCCTCCCGTCTGCCTGGGGTTGTTACTGCCACCTAGAAGAAACCTGGGCAGAGCAGTCAGGTATGGAGTGCCACTGTGCCCACTGCCCGCCACACTGCCCCTGCGGACCTCACTCCAGTGTGGAGGACGGCTAACAGGTAGGTGAGTACAGGCAGAGCCTCAGCAGCCTGAGAAGGAAGTTCTAGAGCATGCCCAGTGGAGATTCTGAACCCAGAGGACCAGGGCAGGCAGGCAGTGCCCATGGCGACAAGAGAACAGCCAAGGCAGTCAGGTTCCAGGCCTGGCCAGGAAGTGAGGGTGGCTTCAACCAGCAGGGGGCTCTGTCAGCCTTTCCCGATAGACACTCAGTTCAAGCTACACCGCCAGATAAGAAGATTTCGGAGGAGGGTGTGCTGGGAGGAAGAAAACAGCCTTAGGATCTACTTTCAACCAAGAAGCTCAGGGGTAGGAACCCAAGCAGATACTGGGTTAGTTCTGGTTAGTGAACTGGAATCTTGGTGACAGACACTAACATATGATCCATGTTCTAGGTGCTGAAGAGGATGCTGTAAAGACAGACAGATGGAGAAGTCCCAGGTCTGTGCCACTAGCCAACTGCTGGGCGGTTACCCGAGTTACCCCAAGGAGAGCAGGGAGAAGAAGGTTCCCAAAAACAAGCTGCTGTCCCCAAACCACCCATCCGCTGCTCATCCTATCTAAATGAAGGCAGTCACGTGGAGCCCAGTGCAGAGAGGCACAGAGGCACACCTGGAGAAATGAGGGGCACCTCGTGCCCACGGTATGGGCAAGTCCCGTCCCCCATAGAGGGTCCTTCTTCCACTCTGCAGCTCACTGGCATTCGTGTCTTCATGAAAAGAAGCCAGGCAAAGAGGGTATCAGGACACCAAGGCCAGCCTCCTCCTGGAGTTCAGGCTAGGTGCAGCTACAGTGGAGTCGCTGGCCACCCCTCCCAGGGAAGACCAGAGCTGAGACCCAACAATCACTCACAGCCTACCTACAAAGCACCTCAAGCAAAGGTGTCTTTAGTCCTGTGTTCCACTTTTCCAAGGTCAGAGGACGGCAATGCGCCCAGAGAAAAAACAAACACAAGTGTTGGGGGGAAACTACCACCCGATCGTGGAGGTGTCATCAGAGCAATGGAGGAGACACAGAAAACTTCTCCATAATGGAATGGAGTTCGTCAGAACAGACCTGCCCACAGCACAAGACGCCAGCTGGTGCAGCTCTATGTAACAGCATCCTTGGCAAAGAGCTGAGGCTGAGGCCTCTGACCCTATCCAAAGGACATGGCCCAGAAAGGTTCTAATACCAGCTAGATGACAGGGTCAGAGGCTGCAGTACAGAGGAGTTCAGATGCAGGAGACAGGAAGCTCTTGCTCCTCTGAGGTATGCAATTCTTCTGCTGCCTCAGAAGCAACCTTACAGACATGCATCAGCAGTGGAGTGGCAACCCCACCAACTGCACCATTCTCACTCAGCGTGATCTGAGCACGGCCTTACCTCTCTCAGGTAGCCCCGGATCCTGCTCTCACAGCTATATCTCAGGTAGCCAGACTTATTCCTGAATCGAGACTCCAAACCTACAAGAAAGATGACCCTGGGATCCACAGGCAGATCATGACCTCTTGGTTTGTGTCCCGCACGGCTCAGGTGCCAAGTAGACAAGAAAGGGGCAGAGGGAGGTGTATCAGAGACTGCATCAGTCACAGAGATACCTGACGGCAGAGTGTGTGTTCTCCAGTTGGGGGAGTTGGTTTTGAGGCACCTCAAACACTGCTAAGAGGTTTCTGTTTGGCTGGCCCTCAAACCCTCAAAAAATTCCAATTACTCAAGATCACCTCCATCTGGACTTAACAACCCAAGTACTCAGCAGCAGAGGAGAGGGTCAAAAGTGTGCTTCATCCATACAATAGGATACTATTAAAAAGGAAGGACGCTGGTCACCCAGGCGAACATAAAGGACAGCATGCTGATGAGAGGAGCGGTAGGACAAACACTGTATGATTCCATCCACACAAGGTACCACGTGAAGGAGGAGCTGGGGAGGGGTTCTGTTCATAGAGCTGGAAATGGGCATGAGAGGGCTTGGGCTGCAGACCCACAGAGCACGGGCTCTGACAGCAAACACCAGTGCCAAGGGCAGGACAGGGTGAAGGGGCTTGGATGTGTGGAGTGCCACTAACTCTACAGCCCAGCCTGCTCTACAGTAGATTCACCCAACCACAGACCTTAGCCATTTAAAAATCTCACATCCGGGCAGGTGCACACCTTTAATCCCAGCACTCGGGAGGCAGAGGCAGATGGAACTCTGAGTTCGAGGCCAGCCTGATCTACAAGCGAGTTCCAGGACAGTCAGGGCTACACAGAGAAACCCTGTCTCAACAAACCAAAACCAAAACCAAAACGAATAAAGAAATCATTTTTAAAAACTTGTATCTGAAATAAGTATGGAGATGGTTTCCTGTTTTACAGAATTTTAAGTCTGTGCATGTGTGCATGTGGTGTACATGAATGTGCACACGTATGTACATCTGTGCAGGTGCACTCACCCATGCACGCACATATGAAGAGCAGAGGCCACCACTGAGTGTCTTCCTCTGTCACTATTCATCCTTACTTATTGAGAAAGGGTCTCTCACTAAACATGGAGCTCACTGTTGGGGGTATATTGGCTGACCAGTGAACCCCAAGGATTTGCCTGACTCTGCCCCCAACACTGAGGTTAGACACGTGCCACCACACCTGGATTTTACATGGGTGCTGTGGATATGAACTCAAGTCCCCAAGCTCAAGCAGCAAGCACTGCCCACTGAGCCATCTCCCAGAACCCTATAGACTATTTTTCCTTGTCATTATTCCTTAAAGAGACCAGCTGACAACTACTTTCCCAGCATTTGCATGGAACCAGGTACCTTAAGTGATCTAGGGAGGATATGAATCATATAGGAGAGATTTCTGAAGTGTGCTGGCCGGTCAGCCCAGCCTAGATGATAGGCTCCAGCCAATGAGACCCTGTCTCAAAGGAGGTGAATGGCATTCCTGAGGATTACACCCATGGTGGTCTTCTGACACACAGCCACGCACACATGCACACATGCTCTCTCTCAAATGGTAAGACAGTAAAGTCCACATTTCATGCATCTTGCCATGGCTTTTGGAAGAATGATTAAAAGGAAGGAAGGAAGGGAGGGAGGGAGGGAGGGAGGGAGGGAGGGAGGGAGGGAGGGAGGAAGGAAGGAAGGAAGGAAGGAAGGAAGGAAGGAAGGAAGGAAAAGAAAAAAGGTTATTTCAAGGCTGCCCCGGACACTGCCTCCACCCAGGAGTCCTGGCCAGATGCCTTCCCATGGACACCTTTTACTCTCTCCAGAGGCCAGTCACCCTTTGTTAGGAAGCATGAGGATCTGAAATGGACAAAGATCCTCTCGAGCCTCTGCTCTAAAGAGGCCCTTCCCTGCCGGTCCCAGACATCCTGGCCACATGGTCACCCCAGTCCACATACCTTCAAACCAGGATGGGTCCTGCCCCCGGGTCTCAGCAGTGATGTTCTGGTTGACATGATGCAGAAGGTCAGCCAGCAGCTTCTGCCTCAGTGGGGCCCGCTCATCTGACAGCAGTTGCCGCGCAGCCCGGATGACCCCAGCATGTGGCTCATTAAACACACTGAGGAAGCGGGTGATGTCACTCACATCTGCCACCACCACGAGACAAACAGAAACACATTCATGTTGCTCTGGTCCCAAGAGGAAGCTCCTGTCCATTAAGCCCAGAGACAGCCAGAAATGAAGACTCTGGTGTCACCAACCCTTGCCCTGGCACTTGACACTCAAATCCTCCACAGGGTGATGCTGCCAATTCCATTCCTCTGGCCACGTCCTGTCAAGTGATGGGATTGCAGTGCCCTAGAATAGTGCACTTGCTCTTCTTATGCTTTCTCTTCCTCCACACTAAGTCACCTCCTTGGCTCATTCCCTCAGGACCCAACTTCCAGGCCTCGCAATCCCTCTCCCGACTTTCCCAGGGACCCTTTCCACATGTGGCTAGCTACAGGGGCTTTCCCAGCAAGTGCTGGACACCAAGTGTATTCTCCTGAGGCGCTTAGCTAAACAAGAGCAAACAAAATCCAGCAACAACTAAAAAACACAGACCACAGCCAAGTGAGGCTCCAAGTCCGCTTCATACTCAAAACTCAGTGAGAGCCACTGTGTTAACAAGCTGAAGAAATAAGGTCTTGTGGACACACCAACAGATGCAGAAAATGCAGGAGGAAACCTCAGGAAGACAGGACTCACCAAGACATTCCTGGACAGTGAAAATGCACAGTGAACATGAAGAAACACAAAAAAATAAATTAATTAATAATAATAATAAAGAAAAGAAAATGTACAGCGAAGAAAATGACAATCTGGATGCCATCAAAGTCAAAAATTTTGAAGCTGGGTGGGGGACACATTGCCTGGAATGCCAGAAGTTGGTAGGTGGAGGCAGGAGAAACAAAAGCTTTAGGCCAGCCTTAGCTACAGAGTGAACTTAAGGCCAGCCTCAGCTACATGTAACCTCGGCCTCCATTTCCCTCCCAGATCTGAACCTTTTGTTCTACTACAGAGCATGAAAAAAGCAAGGTCGGTTAGCTCAGCTGGTTGGAGCTTGGTTCCAAAACAGAGAATGAAAGGGAACCCAACAGGGGATATTTGAAAACCACACTATCTGACATCGAAGCCATAACCAGGATTTGCTGGGGGTGGGGTAAATATTTCAACAGCTTAAAAAATCCGATTAAAAAATACAAAAGACAGGAAGACTGCTTCACCAAGGAGTGCCTGCAGGTGGCAAATAAGAACACAGAATGATATCCAATCCCATTAACCACCGGGGAAATTCGGATTAAGGCCACAGTGAGCTGTCATCACACACCTACCTAGAAGAGCTTTAATAAAAATTATGATCCCTGAGAGCATTTCAGCACTCACACGTCGGAGAGCGGCCCTGAGCAAGAGTGAGCCATGCCTACCCTGCACAGCACAGCACAGCAAAACCTTCCCCAGGCTCCCCTAGTCCTCTCCCCTTGCTTTTCCAGTTACGAAATTAAAAAATAAAATAAAATAAAAAACTGGAAATAGAGTTCTTCAGCAAAAGCTCTTGTCATTCAGCACCCCTGACCTGATCTACTAGGCTCGTGCCTGGGCTCCTGGACCCGGGCTTAAACCGCGTGGGTCCCGCCCATCTCCAAAGTTTTCCTACTTACAGCCCTGCCATGTCTGGCCAGCAGTGAGCAACAGGAGTTCGGCGTCGTTGGGGAGCCCCGGGAAATAGTCATCAGTCACCTCCGTGCCATCTTCGTACAAGCACAGCCGGGAGCCGGACACCGGGAGCTGAAGGACAGGAAGAGTAGCTCGCCCTGCCCCACAGGCAGTCCGCTCAGAGTGTCACCTGTCTGCAGGAGCCCAGCGCCCGTCCAAGGCCATCCAAGGGGACGGAAACCGTGCACTTAGTAGCCGGGGTCCCCGCCCCGCCACCCCGACCCACCTGGAAGCGGACGCAGCCCTTGTGCAGCAGCTCCTGGCAGCTCCGGGCTGCCACGCCGAACTTGCACTCGCTGTGTAGGGCTCGCAACTTGACACTCTTGGGTTGGCGGAGCACCGCGCACATGGCAGGATTCTGGCAGCGGACTCTTCACGCACCGGACGACGATTACTGACCCTCGCTCTTCGCCCCTCCCGGAACTGTGGCGCGTAGGCGCCGCCCGGAACGCTTTTCTCTACTCCTTGGCAGGCGCGACCCGAAACGTCCGTCTGCAGGACCTTTCCCCCGCCGGAACCGGCGAGGCGTGGCTGCGCGCGCAGGCGCCTACGGACGTCCGCGCAGGCGTACAGCGCGGGTCGGCCTGGTTGCCATGGGAGCGTGGCTGCGGCCCGGGCGCTGG